TGGTATCACGATCAGACGCGATGAACATAAGTTTCAGAGAAGTCAAACCAATCCCTAGTTTAATGATTTGGAATTTGAAGAAGTAAAAAAATAATGACCCCAGTAAAAGGCATACGTGCGATTTGGACTTAGTTGAAACTCCCATCAGAAATGTACTATCAGAATAGATTTCGGGGGGTGCATATTGCGAAAGTAATATGGCCTGGTAGGTGCGTTGGAAGTGAGGCGCAACCAAGAAGGATATTGAAGTTAATGCTCTGGAGTTATGAAGAAAGAGACGTCTCACTGAATAACATATACAAAACTCGTAATTCCAGTATTTGTATTTGACTAGACTGACCGCTTGAGGATCGAATCAAATGGAAGTGTTCTTACAGATTAAGAGCTTGAAGGTTAAATGGTGGAACAATAATTAAGATCCAGAGTTTTCGGGCAGTCATGTCGCGGAAACATTGGATTCCTATGTATGTGTGGAACTAGTGATTCTCAAAACACTTTAGATGTGTGCGAAACAAACGCTCGTAGTCTCAGAAACAAAACATCCGAGCGAAGTTTGATGGTGGATGAATTAACTCCCGATCTATTCGTTGTCACAGAAACGTAGCTTATCGTAGATATGGGCTATCCACTCATCGTTGCGGGTTACATCTGTATTAGAAATGATAGTTGTAAATCGCGAGACAGGAAACATGATAGCAAAGAGAAGTGAGGCTGATAATTTTGATATACAAGCTGACCTAGACGAATCATGTACATAGGACACAGTAACAATCACCAGTATACTATCGGCGGTACATCCCTTCCATGAGTGCAGAAACAGGAAAACTTGCAGGTAATAGTAAGATATAACTTGGAAGCAGCTATGCATTGCAACGCAGAAGCTGCCAAGGGGTTTTGTGAGCCATGTTTACTTCGTTGAGCATTCGAACGCTTTGACGAGGAAATGTTCCGAGTTTCGTAGACTACTGACGTAAGACCACATATACAGTACTGCATCCAGGCAGCTGGCCCATGTTTTATTATGGATACTTATTCACTTGAGAGTGTTCAGAGCGCGAAAACAAAATAGTAAAAGATCTTTCTAAGTTACCTTACGATGACTACCTGAAACGCCTAAACCTTTTCCCCTTATTGTATTGTAGAAAACAAGGTGACCTTATTTTGGCATTCAGCATTTTCAATTACGATTTGGTTATTATCATATCGTATCTTTTTGTTCCCTCCATCACTAATAATGTTCGAGGCCTTATCAAGAAGGTTCAAAAACCACTATCTAATAAACTTGCAGTGGGGTTCCATTTCTCTCATCGAGTAGTCAGCGACTGGAACGGCTTACCCGAACAAGTGGTATGAACCTGATCAGTGAACATTTTCAAGGAAAATCTGGACCCTCATTGCAAAACGAACTATAAGAATCAACACAGGTTCATCGACCTACTATTCCTATTACTGAAGACTGAAAATTTCAAAGACAGGAAAAACTTTCAGTTTGGAACAGACAAGAGGCTTGATGGTCTCTCAGTTGATTCAACTTTCTTTTGAAATAGTAGAAGGATGAAGCCTTAACCACGTGCTGAGGTAGTGAATTCCACTCGTTGGTGACCCGATGGGAAAGTCGATAGTCAGCTGTCAAATAATTTGTCCTGGGCTTGTGAACGTTTTCGGAGTGTCCTCGTAAATTCTCTGTTTTGGAAGACAAAAAAATGAGGGCATATCAGGTGCAAATTTATCACTAGGTAATTTGAAAACTGATATCAGGTCACCTCTATTTCTTCGATAAGACAACTGCAATAGGTTTAGCTTGGCCAGTCGAGCATCATACGGGAGCTTCGCTATTCTGGGAATCAGCTTAGTTGCTGTTCTCTGCAACTTTTCCAAAAGCGCACAGTCTTTTTTAAGCAGAGGCTAGCCGATTGTATGCTGTACTGGAGCTTAGGACGTACGAATATTGTATACAAAGTCAAAAGCGCTTTGCGTCGACATTAATAATTGCCCCATGTATTAACCATAGGGTTGTAAAACCTATGGCAGTTGTCGAACGACAGTGTGCAGTAGTCTTTAAGTCTTGACTAACGATGACTCTCAAGTCATTGTGTGTCTAGACAACAGGTAACTCAGTGTTATTCATCGCGTACGTATCTGTGCTTCGATGACCGACATGCATCACAATACACTTGAAAGTATTTATCGGCAACTGTCAGGTTTGAAACCACTTAGATAATTTCTCCAGGTCATTTTGGAGTTCTAAGCTATCACCCTCACTTCGTATTGCTCTCCATATCTTGACATCACCAGCATATAGAAAGACCGATGGTGATAGTAGACGAGGAAGGTCATTTATATAAAAAAGGAGTAAGGCTGGTCCCAACAATGTACCTTGGGGCGCCCCACTAAGCACAGTTTCCCAGATATATAATTTTGAGTTTGTAGCGTCGAGTCGAGATTGACTACGAACACCGCTACCAAGAAACACGTGCCAAATAAATCAGAAGGCGAAGGTTGAACGTAACCAAATAAATCCATAAAATCCCCGAGAAGCCAAATATTAGAAGGCAGTTAATGGACCAAGTCGATATATATTTGCTGGCGATCTCGTGGTATCGAAAGGATACCGAGATCGTGCCAGGATACAAGCTTGGTTACAGAACATAACCGAATTCGCGCGAAGTCACAATCAAAGTGTAAGAATAAGAATGGAAGCACAGTATAGCTGTCATTAGCACAGTCAAACAAAAGCACATTAAAACAAACACTGGTACAGTTGGTTATAATAATAATTGTTTTTATTAAACCAGTCGTGTTCTCGTGATAAATGTGAGTCACTACAAGTTCATCTGTACTCTTTGTTGCCACTCAACTAGGAATTCCTTCATCCACATCAATAAATTGCATCTGATCCCGACTTTTCTTAGCTTATATAACAGCCAGTTTTGCAGAACTTTGTCAGAAGCTTTGATGAAGTCAATGTAGGCTACACCTCGCCCCCCTTGGTGCAGTCCAAAGGATATGGGGTGCGGCAGCCTTCAAGTATAAATTCCAAAATACGTTCCAAGCAGTTTCAATTGAGAACTCTGGGTCTATTGGCCAGTCTAATGACGATGCTGAGCATATGATATCTTGTATGTTTGCTTTCCAGACGTTAGATCTGGACTGAGCTGACGCGCTCTCACTTTTGACAATTATATGGGAGTCAAAGCTTAAAACTTCATGATCACTTTTACCTAGGAGTGACATGTAATCGAGTAACGTTCGTAACGTCATCCTCATAATGTGTCAATATAAGATCTAGTAAGGATGATTCAGAGTCCGGGTCATGCCCAGTCGCTTCTTTCACATTTTTCACTAAGGTACATGTGGTAACCGCATCAACTAGTTCCTGCTCGAAGGAATTATCTGACAATTCAGTTCGCAGATTTTCCCAGTCTACCATGGGTGCATTAAAGTCCCCTAGGATTAGACATCAGTCTTCAGTCTCCAGCAATAAGAATAGTAGGTTGGTGAACCCGCATTAATCCTGACAGATTGCCTTTCAGTGAAGGTTCATCTTTGAAAGTATTCCCTGATGGAGCTGATACCACATATTTCGGGTAAGGCGTTCTAGTCATTGACTACTCGATGAGAAAAACGGGAATCCTTCAAATCAATCCTTTTTTAAATTACCTCCTGCAATTCGAGATACCATGAACTGTTCACGTTGACGTATCATCATAAGAGCTCATAAAATGAGTTTTCCTTAAATTTCATTCCTGAAGGAATTCAACATATCAAAGCGTTCGTCTCTAGATAACAGATCAAGCTTTCTGATGATATTATTGATCTCACAGAGGAAGTTATCTTGTTTAAAAATACAGATAAGGGTATTTACTGGGAAGACAGTGGAAAGTCTTCAGTCTGTCTTCAGTCCTCAGTAATAAGGTTGGTAGGCTAGTGAACCTATGTTAATTCTGATAGATTGCCTTCCAGTGAAGGTCCAGTTTCTCCGTGAGGATATTCACTGATGGGGCTGATACCACTTGTTCGGGTAAGGCGTTCCAGTCACTGACTACTCGATGAGAAAAATGGGACCCCACTTTAAGTTTGTTGGATCGCTGTTTGTGTACATTCTTGCTATGACCTCGGAGATTATCAGTGATGGAGGTAGCAAAAAGATGACATATTAACACCCAAATCATAATTGAAGATACGAAATGCCAGTATAAGGTCACCTCTCTGATTCTGCTGAACAAAGTGGCAAGTTTAGACTTGAGGTTGCGACAACTTTTATCGCACCACCATCAAAGGTTGTGCGCCACTGTGTATTTTTGAAATCCTAGAGGATTGCAATGGAAATACCATGGTATTTTGTAGATAAAACTGGAGTTCTGTTTCAGGATTGAGAAGTACAGACCGAGCTCGATAGAAGATCTTATAAGTCATGACGACATATCAAAAACTAGTATTTCTAATTAAATTCAACTGCTGTTGTAGTAAAGAGATTTATTGATAATGACAGGCTACCGCATTTACTGTTTTATGGTCCACCGGGAACGGGAAAAACTAGCACTATCCTAGCTGCCGCAAAGCGTTTGTACTCTCGTCAGTTTGCATCCATGGTTTTAGAGGTACGTGTTTAGATTTATAATATAGTTGTAGCTTAATGCCTCCGATGATCGGGGGATTGATGTTGTTCGTGAACAAGTACTGAGTTTCGCCAGCACGAAAACTCTCTTCGCGTAAGATATACATTTTTATACAAACTCTCCAGTGGAAAATTCAAGCTGGTTATTCTAGACGAAGCTGATTCCATGACAAAAGACGCTCAAAATGCACTTCGAAGAAGTAACTCTGTGTTTTCGCATATGTTTTAGTTATCGAAAAATTTACGGAAAACACCCGGTTTTGTTTAATTTGTAACTACTTGTCGAAAATTATCCCTGCAATCCAATCACGGTGCACCAAGTTCCGTTTTGCACCACTGCCCTTCAATGATGTCAGTGTGTGTCTTCGAAAAATTGCATCAAATGAAGGGTAAACAAAAGTCTCTCTTATTCCTGTTTAGCGTCGATTTAACTGACGATGGAGTAAAAGCAATTTATCAGTTTGCATCTGGGGATATGCGTAAATCTATCAACTTATTACAGGTAATCTATGTATAAATACGTTCCCAGTTGTTTTGTTAGTTAAATACATAGCGAAAGATAAGTACCAACTTTCAGATTGATCCTGGATGTATCTTCATTCACACGTAGTAGGTTCTCCGTTGTTTATGTCATACTGAAATCACCTAGAGAGTGTAGTGTTTTTATCGTAAACCAGACTTAACTATTGTGTTACATAAGAATCCCACCAGTGATATCTTTTTGTTCTGCTTAGGTTGCATTAAATTCAAAGAAACCAAACAACTAGAGGAAGATGCTGCTGTAGAACTTCCTGTGAGATTGTAGTTCATGGACGACATTTGAGCGACGCAGAAGTGGCTTTGGGAATGTTCACCTACTTACTAGAGCTTATAATTTGCAGTTGATTGTAAGGGTCAGGAATTACGTTTGGGATTTCCATCACGAACTGATAGCTTAAATGCCAAAATGCTCTCTAACCAAATGAATGGATGACTTTTGCGCCAAAATCCAAAACCTTATTCTAAAACTGATTGGTTCGTCCATAAATTATAGTTTAACCGAACTTCCTCATGTTTATAGAGCACTAACATTATTTTCTGTGTGAAGACAACGAAAAAATACAGTCTTGTGATTGTCTCGATCAACATTGTGAGGACATTTAAGCGTTATCCTCGAACATGATCTATTGCTTCAGAACTGGTGTGCGTATACACCTGAACTAATGATAGGGAGTAAGGTAGTTGAGTGTGTCAACCACCTCACCAGCCACACTAAGTTGGTATTTGACGAAAGTTGGGCATAAATTTCAAAAACTCGTTGGGCTTTTCTTACTTCCATTACTTGTAGCACAGGTGAATTGCCCGTCCTCCAGTGTGGAACGAGTTCAGTCTGTTCTACTTTGTGACTAAAATATAGCTTTTGAAAACAGTGTATTCACAGGTTACTAGTATTTAATCATAGATGTGTTCAAAGTATCGCTATCGTATTTTGGGACCAATAAGTGAATATTGCTGAGTTTAGGGACAGGGTACAAGATAAAGGTGAAAAATCGGCTGGTGAGGTAGTAAATAATAATCTATTGAAGTGGGTGTTACATGCATTATAGTTATCCTAACACTGCCTACTTCGATGGACGATGTTTACAGGTGTATGTGTGGGTTAGGAGGAAACTCGAGACTGTAAAACGATGACTTGGGATCACTACATGAAATCAATTACTGTTGAACTGGAAATTGTAAATAGATGCAGACTATGTGGTTGTGGTCAGGGTGATTATCGTAACGAATGGTTAGAGACTTTGAATGACACTGATCTGAGTCGTTCGCAATGGCATGTGTCCATTCACTCTGTGTGTCCAAGATCCTGAGTCCCGAAATCGTATACTTCTTTTTATTCTTCCTATAATTATCTTTCTCTACTGGTACTGCTACTAGTTCTACTACTTTGGAATTCATCTCTCTGTGCTTATGGGGTATCGAAAATTAAACCGATGTACACATGTCAGGTTCTAAGTTGACTATGGCTTCCCGGTCCAACATATCAAATCTAAGTGATACTGCGAAACATTTTAATTTCCTGTTATCAACCCCATCGATTTTAATTTAATTACATGAGTGAATTAACTTTTATACTGGTAGGATACGGTTAGTCACTTATTTCTAACACTAAAATTAGTACTACAAAGCATTCAGAAATTTATCATAAGAAACAAATTACCATATTGTGAAGGGATATAGGAGAGTCATTTAAAAAACAAAACTTGTAATCATAAGTGTGTAGTTCAGATATGGACTTAGCTGATCTAAGTTGTATTGACTACGTTTGACCGTCTATGGAGAGCGCAATGTAAAATCTCAACTGTAATCACCATGACTGGTAGCTTTCACAAACACTGAGTTTTATAATAAAGTAGTAGTTCAACAATTAAACCAATCAGATTTAAACTGTAAGATTATGTGCCTAAACTTCCCCTCATCTCCTTTGGTTTTGCACAGTTACATATTATCTCCGAGTGATTTGATTCAGAGTGGCATACTTTAACTTATACTTTGAGATGTAGGTTTGTGGAATAATGAAAGCTTCACAACTAAGTCATCCATCTCACATCCAAAAAATAATTTATGCTGATTTTTTTGGTTATATTCATAATAATGTTACTATTGCTGAGCTACAGGGTCTGTAGTATTTCATCCATAGTCTTAGCGAACCTAGAAAGTATTAATGACTTCAACTATCCTCCATCACACCGTCCAGTGTCACGATAACCACACCTTTTATCGCCCGTTTAGTGTGTTGGCAACCAATTCACAGAATAGAAGCCTCTAGGATCATAACCAATGAAGTCGAAGGCTTAGCACACAGTACTAGATAAAATGGGACTGCTGAGTCATTATTACTGTCATAATAACTATTCTTTTCATAGGAAGTTGTGACCTTCAGCATACATAAATCTTATATTGATATCCTTGTAGTTATACGCTTATGCGTCTCATGTTTGTCCGTCATCCATTTTATTCAATGTCTTTTGTCATACTACGCATTTTCTGGTTTAAGCTATATTACGGTTTGTAATGAGTAGCAAAAGTTGGCACACTTGTCTTCTCTGCTTCTCTTTCCTACGTCTTATCTTAACGTATGTTGTAGTAAATGAATGTCTGAAATAAATTCATCCAACTTAATCCGTGTTCAACTTCATAGTACCCCCGTCGTTCAAACGGTATTAGCCTAGGTGTAATATAGAGAATTAAATCGGAGATTAATATTCATGGCTTATTGATCTGCTCGCCCAAATCAGAATCAGATATCGGGCCACTATAAGATATTTCGAGACTTACAACAATTTACACAACTGGCGTACCAACTACTTATTACACAATACAGATATTTTTGTAGAGATTTCTTGTAATATGTTCTTATCATGGTTTGTTTGACTCAAATATTCCTTATGTACATCATTTATCTCCAATCCATGAAGAGTACATCTATGTCTTCAAAAACTGTCGACGGACCTTCTGTCTATGCTTGTGTTGCATATCCTTCACCGGCTGAGGTTCGATCGCTATTGGATCATGTACTGAATGAACCGATCAGTACTGCTTATCACAGTAAGTTGCCTCGATAACTGTATCAATCTTTATTGCATTTGACCATTTGTGATGTTGTTTAGTAGTTACAAATATCAAAAAGTCCCTCCATCTCAATATCGCGAGTAAAAATCTGTCTATGTTGAACAGATATCATACTCAAAACAGGAAACTCATTGCTTCTTATATCGACATCAAATAGATGAAAATTCCAAATTAGTCGTAAATAAAATGCGAAAATAATCCAAGATGTAACTAAATAACTAAACATAGCAGTCGACGAAATCAGTAAAAACAAATTGTTAAGATAGAAAATTCCCCTATACTACGAAAACCAGTTGTCCAAGATCCAATACATTAGTGTCTTACCACTCAAAAACTTCTATACTGTAGCTAGTATACTAGTATTTCCCATTCATTTGTAATGTCTCGCAGCCACTTCAGATAACGTAGTCAAGCAAATTCATAGATGCACATCGATGTGGCTCAAAATAGAAGTTAATCCTTAACACATACATGAATAGTAGGCCGGCTTGAGAAAACAATGAAGGACTAAGCAGAAGGTTTTTTTCAGGACTTTGAAATCCATTTGTTCAAGATTTTGGCAGCAGTATCCCCTTTAAATTCGATATACATACAGAGTTTTCTTCTGAACTGCTGGTGCTTTTTCCGGATGTTGTGTAGGTGTTAACTTCCTCTCGACAAAACTAGGTGGATAACCATTTCTGATGAGTGTCTACCGAAGTTGAAGTAGTTCATCGTCTATTGTGCCATTAGAACATATTCGCTTAATCCTAGAGGGTAAAGAGTGAATTAAGTTTCTCTTCCTATTCAAGGGGACCCAGCTATGAAATTTCGTATACCGAACATTGCAGGTGGGTTTTTTATACATTGGTCTCTGTAAAAACCATCTGACCTTATTTCTAACCGTACACTAAGATAATGAAATTTCTCGTTCGCCTCCGGTTCCAGTGTGAATTCAATTGAGTGATGACAAATATTGAACCAATCCTAAATATCATTGTGGTCTATATCTTCTTCACAAATAATGAAAGTATCATCCGTATATCTCTTATATAAATGAAATATCAATTATTGGTCGAAATACCGCATTTTCGATATTGTCCATGAAACAATCAGCTAAGAGGAGACCCAATGGTGAACCCATTGCAACTCCATCAGTTTGTCTATGGAAATCATTATCAAGTCTAAATTTCTCATTGAGACTACATCATAGAAATATGTTTTGGGACACAAATTTCAAAGTTGTTATTTTCAGTATAGTCGCATAAAAAACATATAGTTTCTGTGAGTGGAACATTTGTAAGGAGAGAAGTGACATTCAATAAGATCTTTTTTCTATCATTTGCATTGATATTTCTAATTGCGTCGACAAAATCAATTGAATCAGAAGAGTTGTACCCTTTAATGTAATTTTTGCCGGGTTTCAAAATCTCAGCTAACCATTTAATAATCAAATGATATGGAGAATAACTCATATCAGGTATAGGACATAGGGGCATATTTTTCTTATGAACTTTTGCGAGGCCGTACAGTCTTGGTATAAAGGAATACGATAGTCTAAGATGTTCATAGAAGTGACAGTTAATAATAAACTCATTTTTCTTCTTCCTTAGGATTCTAGTTAACATCTGTCCCATTTTCTCAGTTGCATCTTTTTGAATGGCTTCTTTAGAGGATGTGGTAAAATCAGATAATATCGAGGATAGTTTGGTGATATATTATGCTAAAATGTTTTATTATCCCCATAATAATTGTGACGTAAAGCCTGGTATTACATGAACATATACTCAGTCGTTGATACATTTCATCAAGTACAGATTCACGTACTTCACTTTGAGTCACATTTTATGCATAAGGGTTAGTGATCTTATCCAACTGCCCGAACCGAAAGAGGTGCAATGTGACGCCCACGTACAACCTAATGGTTGAAAGTTAAGCGCCCCAATCAATAAGCCACTAATCAGTTATCAAATTATATCAATTTCAACAAGAAAATCTAACAGATTACATTTAAATAAGAAAAATTAGTTCAGCGAAGAATTCTCTTTTCGGCAAATTCATCTTCAAAGCTGTACAATCGCAAATATATATACTTATTTTTACAGGATGATAATAGTACTGATAATAAACTTCTGTTAGACATGTTGACAGTGAGGTTAAATAAACAAAGTTATTAAAAAAATTCTTTTAGAAAACAAGGAAAGTTTAATAATCGTTCGATTGATAATGGCTGAAGTATTCATCAAATGATAGATAGGGAGATTATCATTGGGAAAGGATAGCTCAGCATGATAAGATAAAATGTTAAAATTGAGATGAAATGTATGATTTTGAGATGATGGAGAAGATTTGTAGCTCAGTTGAATGGTTTCGATGGAGTTATTTTCCAGCTCAGAGAACAAAACTCCAGGATTATATGTAATCAGGATGATCGTAGAAACAAATAAACCAGTTGGGGGGGGGTTAGAAGATTTAAGGGGAAGATGGTAGGTGAAACAGATGGCTGTAAAGGAAGCAGAGTATGAAGAGAAAAAAGATTATGAAACATTAAGACCATGGTAGAAGAAGAGGTTGTACCAGTCTCTTTTGTACACACAACTCTGGTTTTTCCAGATGTATGACTATTGCTTCAGCAATGCAAAGAAGATGCAATCTAATTGTCTTTGGAAGACTTCTACTTACCTTGTGGATGATTTTGAACACAGAGTTTGTCTTGATTGAGTGACCTGTGTTCATAAGGTGTTCGATTATTGAACTTCTTATTGAGTCGTTCCCTCCTCCTTTTAGCCACCCCGGATAATATTCTTGAATTCTTTTTTGATAAAGTATACATCGAACGACCTATATACCTAGCTCCACATGAGCAAGTAAATTGGTAAATGCCCATTGAGTTGATCAGATGCAATAATTTATCTTTAAGATTATTGGTGAACAATGGTCGACTGAAGAATACTATTCACAATGTTGCTGCGAAGAATGTTCTTTTTAAAGAATTCAAAATTCTCCTCTTTTAGATGTATGTGGCTCTCTGTCACCCTTGAATTCGATGTTCATGCATAAAGTTTTCTTTTCTACTGCAATTATTTGTGTTTTCGGTTTTATATTCTTATCAATGAATATCGAAGGATAGCTGTTTTTTTAAGTAAGTATCTCCTTCAAGAGGTCCGATTCTGTATCTATGACTTCGGGACTACAAATTCTTCGTATTCTTGTATCGACTAGCGAACACGTTCAGATATGTTTACACATTACTTTGGATTGAATATGATCAATTATACTTTAAGTTAATGATCATTTTTGTTCTAAAGTACAAATAACTTCCTAAGAGCAAACATTCATATTATATTATATCATATTCATATATTTTTAGATATTACAACAGTAAAAAATTTGAAAGGAATTGCATTGCAAGATATAATTACAGAAATTCATCCATTGATAATGCGTAGTAAGTTTCTTTGTTATTTTTTATATTAAATTATATTGTCTAGTAACCAAATATCTTTACCCCCCCCAACAATCTTTAACTTTTTAAACAAGTCCTGTGTGTACAATATAGTCAGTCAGTTACAACGTGGGACCAGGCACATATATGCATGTACAATATAGTGTAGTGTATGAAATACAATACATTTTCAGTTAACATTACTATCTTAACTATTACAAAATCTAAGTTAGATATAATACAAGGATAATATGTATATGTTAGAATACCTGGTTAGTTTCGTCCTTTGAACGTTAAGCTCCATTGATCTTGTCGATAACGTCATGTAACTTACCTCTTACCTATAGCATGAAGAGAATTCTTTTTAGGTATTTCAAAATACATTTAGGTTACGAGCGGTTTTGATGACAGATCACAATGACTACAGAAGATAATGAACAACTATAGTGAACTAGAACACAAATGGGGAGAGTCAGTTCTCCCTCTTGAAACGCTTTCATATGACCACATGTAATCACTGCCTTCTCGCGGCGAATTTGTTGTTTACGAGATTGAGAGGACAAAAAGCGAAACACCGGCGCTTTAACCGGGTTGGTGGACACACAGAGTTCAACTAGTGGAGTTAGAAAACCCTGATTTCAAACCAATGATGCACATGGGTTCCAGTATCCTTATTGAATAAATGGTGTATGAACCAATTGTTGGCCACCGGTTACAATGGGACTTCATCTCCTTACGATGCTCCGCTGCCTTTTGGACCAGACCTTTAGGTCAAAGGCTCCGGCTGTGGCCCTCTAAGAGAAACGCCTGCTTCGGTGTGGGCACCCGGGCAGTATATCAGCCCTCGCACAAATCGAATGATTTATGTGGCGCATATCTACTTGGCGCCTCCTTGTACCAATGTTTATGCTTTTAAATAAATAAAGATAATGGGGACAATGGAATGTATCTCGACACAAAATTACATAATCTCTTGGTAAAATCTGAGAACCATACAGTAAATATTTCATTTGCAAAATATCAATCAATCGTCTCGGACTTAGTTGTTCTTTCGTTTCCACACCGATCACTCTGTTTTTCTTTCTTTTTTCTTCGATCTTCTTGTCCTTCTGCCGCCAGACATCTAACTTTCGATTGATGATACATACTACTTGTATCTGTTGACATCAGTAGCACATACCACACAACTACTTAAAACTGGTCCATTTGCAAACTATTAGAACGAAAAAATAAAAAGGTTTGGAATCACGATCCTAGCGTTTGATGCAGTTCCACAATGCATACTTGATAAGTAGAACTAAACACCAAAAGGGGTACTAGGTCGATAGATTATTAAGTCACAATACTCGGTCACGTGATACACGAGACTAAATTATCCAACTAGCAATCAAGAACCAGATACAGCCCAGAACAACAGCCTTTTGTTGTAATACAAATCAGTTAGCAAATAGATGCAGAGTGGGACCAGGTGAAGTCAGTTTTACATATAAAATGGTTTTTTATGTTTAGTATAGCCAGATATTTCTTGTCGACCAATCATGACTTACCGTAATCGGTATGTCATCAACAATTGTCCTAATAGCACCAAATTAATCATTGAATACAGGCTTAAACTGCACACAAAAAACATCAATGACCTATAGGGTGCGGAATACGTATCACTGACTGATGAGTGCTAAATGACTCCAAATTTAGGAAAAAAGCTTCTTGACACTTGCCTCTAATCACTTAATATCTAATATTTTCACCAAGTGAGAAAATAAATCAGTTTCTTCCTTGTAAAAAATTGTCAATAATCTGATGTAATCCCTTTAGCTTATATATTACTTCTTGACTAGAAATCAGTCAATCATTATTATCGTAGAGCAGAACCTGGAACAAATATCTGTTAACTAATGTTACCATATTGCATTTTTAACCGGAAGTGTATTCGGTTAGTCCTTGCCAGTGATTAACAGGATTTACCGATTAGAGCGTAGCCAACTAAAAATGTCAACATAACATTTCTTTTGAATATTTGTAATCCTTGTTAATATAATCCGGATTTAATTGGTTATCTAACCATATCTTTGTGATAAAGCCTATATGTTAGCTCCATCTGTAATAATCAATAAAGCACTATAATTATTACTTACGCCTGTTACTCCTCGTGAAGGAGCATAGGCCGCTCACCAGCGTTCTCCATCCAACCCTGTCCTGGGCAATCCTTTCTAGCTCCGTCCAGTTGTAATTCATCGTTTTCATATCTGCTTCTATTATCCGACGCAATGTGTTCTTTGGCCTTCCTCTTTTCCGCTTCCCTTCAGGATTCCAAGTTAGGGCTTGCCTCGTGATGCAGTTTGACGATTTGCGTAATGTATGTCCTATCCATTTCCATCGTCTTTTCCTAATTTCTTCTTCAGCTGGAAGTTGGTTTGTTCTCTCCCACAAAAGGCTGTTACTGATGGTATCCGGCCAATGAATGTTGAGAATCTTGGCTATAATTATTGGCGAAGATTAATCTATCCCAATGAAAATCATGTACAGTCAAGTATTCCTAATTGTTATTACAAAAACGTTAACAATTCTAGTTGACAGAACGTTTTACTCATTACGGCTACAGAGTTAAGCTTGAAATTTCTATTGCCCGTTTGTTGATATTCACAACTGCGATCAAGCTCTTAAATCATATGCACATCTTAGGCAGATTTACTTGATATAGCCTTTAGTCACAAGCTTTAGTATATTTGCTATTTGGTTAACAGACATCTTGTCTTAGCTGAAACTCATCAGTGGTATGTACATATTCACATCGAGACTGGAATTGGGTACCTATCTCTTCAAACGTCAATGTGTTATCACCTAACCTACTCGGCATTCCATCCGATTTCGTCATTGAAGTTATATTGATATCATGAACACTTAGTTTTTCTGGCAATATTTATTCGACATTTCATTGTAGTAGGATTTCTGTTTACTTTTCAATTATTTTCTCAATTGATATTTAGTTGATTTGCCGGATGCAATACGCTGTGATTTATTAATTGCGTTATCCGATATAGAAAATCGTATGTCACAAGGAGCATCAGAAAGATTACAATTGGGTGCATTTGTTTCAGCATTTACTCGAGCAAAAATAGCACTAGAGTCCAAGATTCCCTAAAAACAAAAGTTCCCCATTTCAATTTTGTTCTCATGTTTAATAAATCAATCTTTGCAAATCGTATTTCTTTTCTTTAATTAGTAATATTTCTAGTTTATCGTTATTGTAAACGTGTTATCATAGACATTCATTTAGAAATAACATTCTTATCATCTGACTTATCAGGAATCAATTTTCTACTACGAGATTCTCTTGTTAACTTAGAATACACAAATGGTATATTTTTGTTTATTGAAGACCCTGGATAAGTATAGTTTTCTGACCGTCTTAAGCAACGTTGCAAGGATGTTTAGAATGCGTTTCTCTCCTTCTAAATGCAAAATGTTGCTTCAGAACCTTTCCGCATCAGCATCTAAACCTGTGATAATCAATGAAGTAGTTGAGTTTGTTGACTATTTCACTTATCTTGGAAGTCTCATCAATTCATATGGGTTGGCGTCCGACGAAATCTGGTCTCGGATTCAGAAATTTAGGCTGGTTTTTGTCAATTTACATAACTTGTAGTGTAAGCGAGATATCCATTTCCCAACTAAAGGACAAGCTTAATGTACAGTAGTCCACTCCACCTTTGTGGTTGTGAAACATGGCATTTAAAAATATATTATATTCGTAGGTTATTCTTTTATGATTATAGATGCCCTCGAAGCATTGCTGAGATTATGGATCCAAGATAAAGGTGACAAATCGGTTGGTGAGGTAGTAAATAATAATCAATTGAAGTAGGTGTTACATGCATTATAGTTATCCTAACACTGCCTACTTCGATGGACGATGTTTTCAGGTGTATGAGTGGGTTAGGAGGAAACTCGAGACTGTGAAACGATGACTTGGGATCACTCCATGAAATCAATTACTGTTGAACTGGAAATTGTAAATAAATGCAGACTATGTGGTTGTGGTCATGGTGGTTATCGTAACGAATGGTTAGAGACTTTGAATGACACTGATCTGAACCGTTCGCAACGGTGAGCGTGCATTCACTGTCTTCCCTTAAAGCCTGTATCTAAATTCATGACTTTTCTTTTTGTCGCACTAGTTTATACATTTTCTAACCTTATCTTCGATGCCTAGTCTTTTTTATTACCAGCAATATGTTACTACCTCAATTACTCTGGGATTTACCCTGACAATTTCATCTCGCTATGCAATGGGGTATGACAAATTTAGCTGATGTACACATGTACCAGGCTCTATGTTGCTTTTGACTGACGCAATGCCGCTTAGTTTAGATTGACTGTTTTTAGATCAGTTTTTCAGTCAGTCGTAATCAACATACGACCGGCTACAGATGTCCATCAGCTCATGTTATCACGTGACATCAACTCAGCAAGATAAAGATGAATAGCAAAGTAGTTGAAATAAAGGTAGTAATAATAATGATAAGGAAAGATCTAATACTGAGAATGCTTCGAAGATGGAGAAGAAATTCGCAAAACAAAGCATGTGGAAGAATCTTGAAATTCTCAATTTAAGTGAAAATGAAGAATGAATTCAGCGTCATGTCGCCTACAGTGACAATCATTGTGTGAAATTCAATTAGACAGTCAGTAGAAACAATATAGTTCAGAATTAGTGTGCCAATATGTGAATGACGGTATTGTACTTACAGGAACTACATTACTTAGTAGTTTCCGTAAGTGTCCCCAAATGCCCTGGTACGGCAGAGAGTGGTGAGTCTGCTCTCCCTCTCGAAATGCTCTCATAAGGCCACGCGTATATAACCTACTCACTGTCTTCTCGTGGCGGAAGTGTTGTTTGCGGAAATGAGAGGACGAAAAGCGAATGTCCGGGGCTTTAACCGGATTCCAAACCAATGGTGCAGATGGGCTCCAGTATCCTGCGGGAACAAATAGCGTATAAACCAATTTTCGGTCACCGGCTTCCATGGGACTGCATCTTCTTACGATGCTCCTTTGCCCTGTGGATCAGACCTTCGGGGAGTGGCCTCTTAAGAAAACCACTTGCTTCGGTCTGGGCACCCGGGCAGCATCACAGCCCTCACACATATCGAATGAGATTTGTGGTGCATATGTATTTGGTGCCTCCTTGTACCAATATCTATGTGCTAAAATAAAAATAAACATTACCTAGTTACTCTAAATTCAGGTGTATTGTATCTCTAAGCCTTCCGTCAATTTATCGTAGACCAAAAATTATCCTCGGCTCTAGGCTACTGTCAACCCTCCTTAAATCTCATTATTTAGTGGTGCGATGTGGGCTGAACATTCCTCAACCGCCTCAGGCAATGTACACTAACTTTAACGACTACACTACTCTACCTGCCTAGAACTCTACGCTTGTATATTAAGTCTTATTCTTCCAGATTGTGATATGTCAGAGATTCACAAACACTAGTAACCTAATAGATTTAGGCGGGTCTAGAATTACATAGTCATGTAGCACAAGTAGGTCGAAATATGCGACAAATGTCAGCGGCTACAAACATGCATTCTCCAAGAAGCTCACGAAAATCCCGATGAGAAGTGATTACGTATACCTATTGCTCTAGTTGTATATAGAAATACAATCTCCCTGGTTGAGACTCATAAGACAGTCAAATAATCTGTTATGAGGCTTTTAGCCTTGGTATATTCTCAAACAATGTATTGCTCATTATTTCTACAGGGTTTTACTTCTGTAGATTTGTCAGATTATTATTTTAGTTCTTCCTCTTGTCGAGCTGACGACAATGACAGACTACAGCCTCGCAAATATAGACATTGGTTTAGGCCACCATAATTCACATCGGCTCAACAAGAGGGAAAGAAAATCAGCAAAAGGCACAGAAAAATAATGTGCTAATAACCAGAGAAAAAAGAAATAACGCATCTTTATCATGGTCAACTCCAGATGCCAATAAGCTATCTTATGGACTGCATATCTACACATAAATCTGACCATGAGTTATCGAACGATCTTATTTCACTGTTACATTACTTACAGGGACTTTCTATCAGTCACTAACTGTCTTCAAGATAGGGGAGAGGGCTATCGCCCGATGTCTATAAGTAGAGTCACAATTCGGTACGACACTTAGTCGATGACCAAAACCTTAGAAACTGCTGATCAAGAGATATTTATCAAGATCGGTATCCCGAACTACAACGATTGATACCAGTTGAACTGAGTCACGAAACCTAGGACTACGACTGATATCTTGACTAATCAAACCGCTGCTACTGGCCGAATGATCTAGTTCCTTGGCCTTTTCAGTCAACAACGTAGAGAGACTGATGAATTGTAATCTTAAATGACAATCGGAAGATACAAGTAAATAACACTAAGTGAACATTTACCATTGCAGTCAGTCAGTAACAACGTAGAACTTCGTACGTACGTACATCAGTTCGAGTTACCATGCTACATTAGCACAAATATACAATTGTCAATTCAAATCCCATAATGGTAGAGGTAGCAATCGGGAACATTAGCGTTTGAAGATGTTATTCCGGGATAATCCAGTGAAATGAATTTGGAAAGAGGAAAAAAGGGATATGAAGAATCCAGAAGATTAGGGTTTGGAGGAACACAGAGTGGATGCACCTGCGCCATGCAAACGATTTTCAGCCATGTCATTCAACGTCTCCAACCTTGGCCTTTTTAGACTTAGGGTGACACTAGACTGAAAACCATAACCTACTAGACTTCTACCCAGAAGTGATTTTGGAACTACAAGTTCTAGAACGACGGAAGAGTGGACTGTGTTACTTCTTTACAATAGCTAGGTAATTTAATAACTAAACCAAATGCATGATATCCTGGTAACATACAGTATGAATGGGACCTACAACATATGGGAAACTGGAATAAGCCAGAGTAGCTAGATTGACAAGTCCGGTCGCGTATGCTACTACTAGCCAAATGTATTGCGAACGATATCGTTCGTTCAAAACAAACTACATAGGCCTCGAGCTTGCAACATAAGAACTGGGGACCTAAAATTACAGCCACTAAGTCCTCTCAATTATAATTGGCTTTCGCCAGTACGGAATGTTATGACAGCCCTATTCTGTTTTGGTAACACATACGGAAAAGGTACGTTCTATTAATTATAGTCTGTTTGTTGTTTGAAACTAAAGACATCTTTTATCTCTGAAATTTGCAGCCTGATCTTTTCGGGTTGGGTTATTCCTTAGAGAACATTTGCCAATGCCATGCTAAACCACGTTGTACATGACTCCAAAAGGCGGTATTAATTTAAAAAATGATAAGCGTGAACCTAAGCTGTTTGTATTGTAACACTAGGTGAACCATGGTAGACTAAGTGGAAACAGATACTGATATTGGTGGACGGATGACCAACATAGAAACAATAACCTAAGCTTACACGACACGATAAAATACGCAAATGACATTCATTGAGTGATTATATATATAGGTCGTCTAACGAAATCACGCTAACCCCTGTATAACAATACTAGCTATTAACTTCGTACAGGGATGTCAGTACACATTAACACACCAGCAGTATAAACATCTCTTAGACTTAAAAAGTTCAGGCTTATTATGTCCAGAAGCTTAAAAAAGCTTTTCCTTCAAACCGCAAAACTTCGAAACCAAAACCGTTGGGCGACTGACTGGATCATTTGATCAGTGTTCGCCAAGTTTATTGCGATAACATGCAATGAATTAGAAATATTCGGAGTCCAGGTTGTTACTTGATCAGTTATTACGAACTGTTCGTGCCTGTCAGATGGCAAAATGCTACATCATCTGAGTATTTTGTAGCCCCAACCATGGCAAACTATATTATCAGCTCTACCAAACTGACAACAAAAAACTCGTATTTGATTAGGTTCGACTGCTTTAGATCGTTTAAACGGCTAACTTACCAATTGTCAATGGAGCCACATGCATAGCAAGTGATGGGAAAACCCAACCACAAGTGGGTTGTCTCCGCTTAAAGTATTACACATATGTTTAAGTTTACATGAATATCAACTCAAAGGGAGTCATCAAGAATATTAATGTAAAGGAGACACTACTTGTAGGAAAGTAGTCACGAACATGAGGAAAGTTTATAGCGAAAGTATATTAACTTTGAATGAACATAACGTCAACTGAGAGCAGATAAAAATTTGAGTAATATTATCAAAGACAGTAAAGTCGAATGATTACAAAGCGTAAGAACTGAAAGTAAACAAAACGAGAATGCACATGACGCTGAGTCATGTTGATTAATTCCTTTTAAACGATTACCAATATTAGATATTATTTACTAGCTAGCTGTAAACTATCATAGTACGTTTTAAAAACTACTAGGCTATCCCAGTATGAGGCACAACGAATGGTGTCAAGACGGGCAGTCTAACACTCGAAGTTATTGGCAAAGTTAACATGATTCCAAGAAGCCACTAAGAACAAGGTAAATAAAACAGAGTAACAGACTAGACACCGTCTTTAAAGACCATAAGACGAATAGATTTTTCCGTTAAAATGTATTAAAGTAAAGTTATCCAAGTTTAATCTGAAGCTCTTTCTTCTTTGCTTTTTCAAGTTTAGCCTTTTTGGCGAGGGATTTAGAACCCATGATTCCACCACCCCAATGTTTTCGAATCTATAGCGCAAATATTATTAGAAATAATTCCTCACCTCTTCGAAACGATCATTGTAGTTGTTCTTTACCATTTCAACTATTTTCGATAACCGCGATTTGTCCTCTCTAAAAATTATTTTGAGAAGTTGGACTTACTCTCTAATATTAGTGAAGGCCAAGCAAGTACACGTCTTTCGGTGAACCAGAAGTCCAAGTTTAGCCTTACTTTTAACCATACAATATGGTACACCCATTTTCCTGCACAATGCAGGAAGGAAGAGTACCACCTCGATTGGCTCAACATCGTGCGCTATTATAACAAGGCGAGCCTTCTTCTGAGTTATGGCGGTAGTCACTTCGCGAATACCAGCACGAACAGTGGGTTTACGTGTTGTTGGTTCATCAGGTTTGCCTTCAGCACGCAATTGTGCTCGATGAACGAGAAGCATTCTCTTAGCTTGTTTACTTAGAGGCTGATACTTGGTAACCAGGTTGAATATTTGACCAGCTAAGTACAGTAAAATTCTCGAAAACGGGAAATACCTGAGTTCCTATCTAATGTCTGAGAAAATTGATGGATCGGGGGTGGGATTTTCAATCGTTTCTTTAGGATTGCCTTTTTCCTTTGGAGCTCGATGTACTTTGGCCACTTGGCGAAACGATAAAGGTTCCTTTTTGGTTGAATATCTTGTCCGATTCCGAAATTTTTAGGTCGGCGCTGGATTAACGGATTTTTGACGACCTTCTTCTTTGCCACCGTTTTCTTTGCTATTTCAGGAAGCGGAGCAACTTTTGAAGGCTTCCCTTTACGAATAACTGGTACCTCAGGTTCATGTTGAACAACTTCCTTAATCTTCTTAGCTTTGATTATCTTTTTCGGCTTATTAGGCTGTAAGTTAAGTAACACATCAGGATAAACGTCAAAACCAAACAACCTACCATGCTCAATGATTTAAAGTGAGCGGTATGACATACAACCTAACAAGCAAAGGTTATATTTGTTATTCAGTATTCAGTCTTCAGTAACAAGGATAAGTCTATCAACCTATATTAATCTTTGCAGTTTGTGACACCATGGAGGTCCAATCTCGTTTTAAATATGTATCAACAGAAAGTGCTGGTACTGAGTGTTCTGGAAGAGAATCTCAATAATGCACTACTCGGTGCGAGAAACGAAACTCCAGATATAGACGATTTGATCTCGCTTTTTGAGCTTTCTTTGAATGTCCTCTCAAACGATTAGTCCTAGACGGAAGAAAAAAATAAGACATAATACCACAGTTATCGTTTAGTATACGATAGGCAAAGATTAGATCACTCCGTATTCGGCAGTTAGTTCCTCAAACGGTCCACAAAAGCTACAAACAACCTACAATCATCAAGAACCGCACTCTCCGTTCTCTAAGCCGCAAAAGGCACTGTTGGACAGAATACAAACAAACTGACAACAACGGCGCCTACAGGCAATATAAACATATAAGGAAAATATGCACTAAAGCAACAAGAGAAGACAGGCTTCAGTACCGGATAAAGCTTATGGATAAATTTGTCTCCAATCCGAAAGGCTTATTCCGTTATGCAGCCTCTCTTCGAAAAGCCGAAACTGGAATTTCCCAAATGCTAGGTCCTGATGACCCGACCAATAACGACGGCGACGCCTTTAACCTTCTGGCTAAACAATACTCTCAGAAATTTCAACCGATCCACATCAACTATACTGATAACAGCTTCATCTGCAACTGCACATGACTTTCCAAAGTGAACCTGAGCTCTGACTTGATGTTTCGGAAACTGCAGCACTTAAGAATAGACACTTCTCCTGGCCCGGATATGGTCCATCCTGTCATACTGAGGGAAGCAGCTTCAATCCTAGCAACACAGATTATCATGATGTTCTCACGCTCGCTAAGCCGAGGCAAACTTCCGGAAACTTGGAAGCCGGCTCACATCACACCAATTTTTAAAGGTGGTCGACGCAGCAAACCTTCAAGTTACCAACCAGTGGCTCTTCCCTCTACTCCTTCAAAAATCATGGAGTCCCTGATATGTGATAGTATACACGACTATTTACTATCCTTAAATTTCTTCTCACCCAACAGCATAATTTCAGGAAGGGTCATTCTTGTATAACCAACGTGCTGACTGCGGTGGACAGATGGACAAGTATCCTTGATCGCAAGTAGAAGGTTGATATCATTTACCTTGATTTCTCAAAAGCTTTTGATAGGGTCAACCATATATGTCTTATCAGTAAGCTCAAACGATTGGGTATCAAATTAACTCTAATTGACTGGTTCACTTCATATCTAAAAAGTAGACATTTAAGGGTCAGGGTTAACTTCACTTTATCCCAGGCTGTGGAATGTCCTAGTGTGGTCTTACAGTGCTCAGTACTAGGACCTCTTCTCTTCTTAATTTATATAAATGATCCTCCACAGTAGGTGTCGCCAGACTTATTGCTTTCCGCTGATGACGTGAAACTTTGGAGAGAGATATGCAACCAAGATGATATACAGGCACTTCAGGAGGATCTGAATCGACTTCAAGGTTGGACAGACGATAACGGACTTCTCTTTAACACTTCAAAGTGTAAAGTAGTTCATCTGAGACATGCTGCAGACTACAGTTACAACTTACAAAACTCCTCTCAAGTAGTATCTCGATTCGAAAGACATCTAAGAGTCCTGAGGCCCTATGACTTGAAGTCGTACGCTAAATGTGACAAAAATGCCTTTCGAGCAAACCTTGCACTGGTAACATTGAGGCGCATTGCTGGTCAGTCTGAATGGAGAACTGTCCACATAATCTTCAGCAGTTTCATTCATCCTTTTTAGAGTGCGGAAAAATAGTATTTCCTCCCCTATTCCAAAAGGATAAGAACACTCTGGAGCGTATCCAACGGCGAGCCACGAAATCAGTTTGGGGCTCAAATTTAAACCTTATGAAGAGCGCCTCCAATTCCTCAACCTTTACTCATAAGAGTACAGGCGTCTTAGAGGTAACCTTCTAATGGCTTACAGTATCTTTAACACTTCTGGACATCCCCTTAAACACCCAATTAAGCTTTGTCTCAATACAAACCTAAGGGGTAACACCCAGAAATCGGAGATACAACATAGCAGAACGGATTGTACACACAAATTTCACTCCTTAAGAGTTGTCAAATGCTGGAATTCGCTGCCGGCCGAGCTAGTCCAAGCGACTTCCCAGGAGTTCTTTAAGAGGCAGCTTGATATATTCTTGAGGACTAAGGATAGTATCATAATATGACTTACCAATTCCTTTTTCCTCTTTTATCGTCAACATACCTAGGTTCCTGCCTGGAGGTATTGGTGATGAACTGCTACTAGACACGGAAGCCTGTTAAGCGAAAGCTTCTTCCATTCCGTCCACAACCATTTGAACCATTTGAATATAACAAGACCGATGATGACAGAAGACTGGGGATATCATTTACATACAAGAGGAAATACATGGGCCCTAAAACTGTACCCTGAGGCACTCCACTAAGCACAGCTTCCAAGCTAGATAACTTTGAGTTCACCCGCACTCTTTGTTGCACCTCAACTAGGAAGTCTTTAATCAACATCAATAGATTGCTTCCAATCCCGACATTTCTTAGCTTATATAAAAGCCAGTTGTGCGGAACTTTGTCAAGAAATTTGCCGAAGTCAATGTAAGCTGCGTCTACAGGTAACTTTTGGTCTTTAAGAGCGCACCAGCTTCCACGAGCAACTAATAAGTTAGCGAGACAGGAATAACCTATTTTGAAACCATGCTGCTTTTCTTGAAGTATCCGGTTTTCATCGAGATACTTAAACAGTTCCTTTCGAATAATCTTTTCTAAGATTTTAACAACCGCACTAGTCAGGCTGACGGGTTGGTAGTTCTCAAGCTTATGTTTCGTACCTCTTTTGGAGACAGGACTTACTATGGTGTTCTTCCAGTCTTTTGGTAAACGACCCTGGGTTACAAATAGATTAAAGCGTATACCTAAAGTGTTGATAACGAAGTTAGATAATTCATTTAGTAGTTTAGGATGCAATTCATTGGGCCCTGTGGATTCGCCTATGTCAAGCTTATTCAGCAAACCAAAAACGTCGAGATCTTTGATGGGCACGCTGTCCAGTGTGTATGGGGGATTTGTATAGACTGACTGGAAGGGCGTTTCCATGGTATATACATTGCTAAAGTAGTTCGAGAATACTTGAACTTTACCATGGTCGTTTCCCACCAATATTTAGGCAGTACTGTCTCCACATAGTGCAGGAATATTTCCTCTTCTTCTGGCTCTTTGGTTTATGTAGGAAGACAAGCGTTCAGGACATTCTATGGATTCCCTAACAATTTTCTCTTCGTACAGCTTTCTAGACTTACGGACGGTCGAGATACGCGTATTTCGAGCTTCTCGATAATGGGGTTTTGTTTCGTCAGTCCTCAGTAACCGGAAACTACCCCACATTCTTCTTCTCATACGAAGAAGGATGCGAACCTCCCTTCCGAACAATGGTGGAGAGATTCTCGGCCCCCTTGGTGTTATTAATGGATGTGTGGTGCGGTAACGTTTAAGTATTTATTTCGAAATACGTTCCAAGACGTTTCAGCTGAAGACTCTGGGTCTATTGGCCGATTGGCCGATATATATATTGTATGTTTGCTTTCTGGACGCTAGGTCTGGACTGGGCTGACCCATGCTCAATTTTGACAATTATATGGAAGTGGAAGGTTAAAAATGCATGCTCACCTTTATCTAGAGGTGACATGTAATCGAGTAACCTTCGTAACGTCATCCTTATAATGAGTCAATACACGATCTAGTAAAAATGATTCAGAGTCCGGGTCTTACCAAGTCGCTTCTTCCACATTTGGGACTAGAGCACATGTGATAACCACATCAACTAGTTCCTACTCGAAGGAATTATCTGACGATTCAGTTCGCAGATTTTTCCAGTCTACCATGGGTGCATTAAAGTCCCCTAGGGTTAGACGTCGACCACTTTTTGATCAAGTACTGAGACTGCTTACTTACGCCTGTTACTCCTCATGGAGGAGCATAGGCCGGCCATCCAGCATTCTCCATCCAATCCTGTCCTGGGCAATACTTTTCAGCTCTTATCATTTTCTATTCATCCCTTTCATATTTGCTTCTACTTCGCGACGCAATGTGTTCTTTGGACTTCCTCTTTCACGTTTGCCTTCAGGATTCCAAGTTACGGCTTGCTCCTCGATGCAGTTTGATGATTTGCGTAATGTATGTCCTATCCATTTCCATCGTCTTTTCCTAATTCCTCTTCAGCCGAGCGCAGTTATGTTCTCTCCCACAGTAGACTGTCGCTGATGGTATACAGCTAATAGATGTTGAGTATCTTGCGTAAGCAAATGTTCATAAATACTTGCACATTTTTGATGATGGTTGCAGTAGTTCTCTACGTTCAGCTCCGTACATAGGACTGTCTTGACGTTCGTATTAAAGATTGTGATTTTGATATTGGCTGAAAGTTGTTTTGAATTCCACATATTCTTCAATTGTAAGAATGCGGACCGTTGATTTGCTAATCCTCACGTTTACGTCTGCATCAGATCCTACTTGTTTAACGAAGATGCTTACCAGATATATGAAGGATTTCACATCTTCCAGAGTTTTGCCATTAAATGCGATTGAATTTCTGTTCTCCATGTCGTGTTTGAGGATCTTGGTTTTCCCCTTCTGTACGTTGTGGCCTACTGATACATAGGCTGTTGCTACACTAGTTGTCTTCATCTGCATTTGTTCGTGTGTATGGGATAGGAAGGGAAGGTCATCTTCGAAGCCAAAGGGATGTAGACCGATAAATATCAAGTTAATCCTATCCATTTATATGTAGATATCGATATCCACCACTTAATCAAAAGTATTTCAACCCCACAAACACGTAATACAGTTCCCTATCACGTAACATATATGTTATTATTATTGTTTCCTCATTTCATCCGTGATCACCGTCATCAGTCGAATGCCATTAACAGAAACCAGCAATCTTAATATATTTAAATATAACTGAATAATCTGAACACTCTATGAAGTTCCAACTCAAATA